TGAACCTGCAGTGCACTCCTGGGAGACCTATGGTTGGAGACTATGGCAGAGACTGAATGTATGGCTCTGGAGTAGGGACCACTCCCCCCCGCACCCCATTGAGTTCCTGACCATGCTACCCCCAAGCAGGAGACACACTAGCCTTGTCCTCCCAACCCTAGTCACTCTGCCCTATCAAGCTTGCACCTTGTGGAGGGGTCTGTGGGTTGTAACCAGCTTGGGTCCACTCTACCGTTTTTCTACAAAATGTTCTTGAGGAAGATCAGGCAACCTCAGGGAGTGCTGCTGTGGCCAGTAGGAGAAGAGAGAGCTCCGGGTACCTTGGAACTTTTACTGATCTGCCCCAGGCTCAGAGCTGGAGGAAGCTAAACCTTGTACACAGCTTGGTACCTCCCATGTACACCCAGTACCAGTAGAGGCAGCCACAAACAGTGAATTGTGTGGTAGTCCAGACAGATAGCCCAAAGCTGGTTACAGGCAATGTCTTACATCAATCTGCACTAGAAACCAATCCAAGTGCACCCAGAACCAACACAACTAGTGGAGGGATTTAGAACACACAGAGCTGACCCCAACTAACCACATAAGTGACATACCCAAAGAGAAATCTTAGCAGGCACCAGAATCTGCTGGAAACAACTTCATCTCAGAAGACAGTCAGTCCCCACATGACAACTCATACATTATGATGAAGGTCTATTCTTACAGTAAGCCAGCCTGAAGTTTAACCCCACCCATAAGTGGCCCCATAGCATTCAAGACTCAACTACAAGAAGAGGGCACACATAACTCACACAAAAGATATTCCTAGAGCACCTAGCTCAGATGACCTGGGAGACTGCACCACTGACCGCCAAAAGACACCTATATCAAAAAGCCATCATAGCAATTTTAGGAGTCTTAGCAGATTTACTGAACACACAGTGACAAACACAAGAATGCAGATTAAATGGTGAGATACAAATATGCCCCGAATGAAAAAACAAATCCCCAGAAAAAGAATTAAATGAGTTGGAAGCAACCAAGATACTAGATGCAGAGTTCAAAACAATGGTTGTAAGAATGCTCAAGTACCTTAGGGGAAGAACGGATGATCCAAGTGAGAACTTATAGAAAGAGAAAGAATGAAAAAGGACATAGAAGCCATAAAAAAGAACGAGTCTGAAATGAAGAATACAATACCTGAAATGAAGAACATACTAGAAGGAATAATCAGTAAGTTATAAGAATCAGAGGACTGAATCAGCAATTTAAGGACAAAATAAGAGAAAACACCAAAGCAATACAGGAAAAAAAATAAAAAATGAGGAAAGTCTAAGGGATCTCTGAAACAACATTAAGGGTAACAATATCCACATCCTAGGGGTACCAGAAGGAGTAGAGAGAGAGTAAGGAATCAAGAACCTCTTAGAAGAAATAATGAAAGAAAACTTCCCTAACTTGATAGAAGAAAAAGACACCAAGTCCAGAAAGCACAGTGTCCCATACAAGATGAATGCCAGGAGGCCCACACCAATAATAATTTTAAAGAAAAATAGAGAATCTTAAAAGCAGCAAGAGAAAGATAACTAGTTACCTACAAGGGAGCTCCTATAATGCTGTCAGGTGATTTCCCAACAGAAACACTTCAGGCCAGAAGGGACTGGTATGAAATATTCCTAGTGATGAAAAGCAAGGACCTACGACTAAGACTACTCTATCCAGCAAGGCTATCATTTAAAATTGAAGATAAAATAAAGAAATACACAGACAAAAAAAAAGCACAAAAAACTAAAGGAGTTCATTACCACCAAACCAGTATTGCAAGAAATGTTAAAGGGCCTTTTTTTAAGAAGAAGAAAAAGAAAGTAATAAAGACAGAGAAAGGAACATAGTTAAAAGAATAAAATGACAACAAATACACACCTATAAATAATCACTTTAAATGAAAATACCCTAAATTCGCCAACCAAAAGACATAGGTAGCTGAACATATGACTCATATATAAGAAAATATGACTCATATGCTGTTCATTGCAGCACTATTTACAATAGCCAAGATCTCAAATTTGCCCAAGTATCCATCAGTAGATGAATGTATAAAAAGTCTGTGATACATTTACACAATGGAATACTAATTGGCGGTGAAACAAAAGGAAATCTTATACTTTGTGACAGTATGGATGGACCTGGCGTGTATTATACTAAAAGAAATAAATCCATCAGAGAGAGACAAGTACAACATGATTTCAACCATATGTGGAATCTAATGAACAAAACAGAAACAGACTCATAGACACTGAGAACAGACTAAAAGCTGTCAGAGATGAGGCAGGTTGGGTGGCTGAGTGGAAAGGGTGAAGAGATTAAGCAAAAAGAAAAAAAACTAAAAACAAAAAACAGTACCGTGATTGCCAAAGCAAAAGGAGAATAGTGGTGGGAGGTAGAATAGTGCAAATGTGGGATAAATGGTGGCAGAAAGAGACTTGACTTTGGGTGGTGAGCATACAATGCAGTATGCCGATAATGTATTAGAGAACTTTACACCTGAGATCTCTATATTTTTATTAACCAGTGTCACCCCAATAAATTCAATTAAAAAAAGAAAAAACGTGTGGATGTAAAAAATCTTAAGTCAATACACTTACATTACTGTACTCTATTTATTGATATAATAAGCTTATATCATTTGTTTACTAGATGAATCAGCTGTCAGTACCTATATCAATAGTGTCTTATATGATAGAAAACACTATAGATGGTATATGTATTACTATTACTTTCATCAAAAATGAAAAAAATAATGTGAAAAAGAAATTCATATCTATTTACCTGTGTAATGATTCATGCATTGATAATAAAGAAGCAGGAATATGATTGCCTGATGGTAGCCTTGAGTGAGGTATATTTGTTTCACAGTATTAAGGAAATCTCAAAAAAATGTTCCAATATATTTATTGAACAAAATCTGCATATAAGCAGACCCATGCAGTTCATACCTGTGTTGTCCAAGGGTCAAATGTATGTATATATGTGTGTGTGTGTGTGTGTGTGTATTATGTTATGAGGAATTGACTCTTGTAATTAGACAGACTGAGAAGTCTCACAACCTGATGTGTTTAAGCTGGAGACCCACGAAAGCCAATGGTACAGTTCAGCCCCACTCTGAAAGTCTGAGAACCAGGGAAGCCAATGGTATAATTCCTACTCAGAGGATGTCTTAGCTCAGCAGGGGCAATTTCTCCCTTCCTCTGCCTTTTGTTCTCTTCAGTCACCTAAGGAATTATATGATGTGGACCCACATTGGAAAAGGCAATACGTTTTCCTGAGTCCACAGATTCAAAAGCCAACATTTCATGGGTACACCAAGTAACGTTTAGCAAATAACTGGACACTCGGTGACACAGTCCAGTTGACACAGAATTACCCATCACACCCCATCTCCTGCTACTCTCTCTCTTTCTCTTTCCTTCAGCCACACTGATCCCCTTGGTATGTCTCAAACAAATCAGGCCTACTTCAGTCTCAGGGTCTTAATGTGAGCTGTTTCCTTCTTCCTGGAAGACTTTTTCCAGATATCCACATTGTGGATAAATGAGTGACTACTCATTTATATTTGTTTTGTTTTTAATCTTACTTTCTCAATGAGTCCTAGTGAAACTACCCTACATAAAATTGTCATCCATCCTTTGTTCTAATCTCTCTTACCTTGCTGTATTTTTACCATATCTAAATTACTTATTTAGCCTACTTACTGCTTACATTATCTTCCCATCCCCTACCCCATCTAGACTATAAGCTTCATCATGTCAGAAAGTTCAATTGCCTTGTGTCCTTAGAAATACCTGACAATTATTGATGGCTCAATGACTATTTGATAAATAAAGGAACAGCTATACTATTTTTTAAAATTCTTTCTCTTAAGTGTTTTTAAAGATTTTATCTATTTATTTTTAGAGAGAGAGGAAGGAGGGAGTGAAACATCAATGTGTGGTGGTCTCTCACATACCCCCTGCAGGAGACCTGACCCACAACCCAGGCATGTGCCCTGAGTGGGAATCAAACCGGCAACTCTTTGGTTCACAAGCTGGCACTCAATCCACTGAGCCACATCAGCCAGGGCTAAAAAAAACTTTCAAGCATCAGTTTGTGCCAGGCTTTGAGCTCTGATCTCTGAATATGTAAATTGAATCAGCTATGTACCTGCCTTCAGGAAGCTAACAAAGAAGCCTGAACTACTCATAAATAACTACAAGATATAAATAGTTGGGTATGAGAGATTTATAAAAACTACTCAGAGAAAGGAAAACTGTTTCCAGTGAGAGCAACAGGGAAGAGTTTGGAGACAGTGACACTTAAATTGGTGCTTGAACTGTGGAAATGAGGAAGAATAGTATTCCAGGTAGAAGAAACCACATTATTTAAAAAAAAATCACTAAAGAGCTAGGACATGGGGAGTAGACAGGAACAAAAGAGAATATTGAAAGAGTTCAGGTTTTGAATGAAACAGCCTGACTTCAAATCCAAATTCTACAACCAAGCAGCTGTGTGACCTTAGAAAGATTATTTAACCTCTCTAAGTTTCAGTTTCCACATTTATAAAATTGGGATAACACCATCTAGCTTAGAGGATTAAGGTGAGGAAATCATGAACAAAAATCACCTAGCCTGACTCCCAGCGATCACTCAGTAACTGAGAGCTATTGGAGCGTAGTTCGACTGGAGAACAGATGAACTGTTTCCCTCATCAAAGCCATTTTCCAATAGGCAGCAAGGCCAAAATGTATTGCATTTACTCTACACTTCCTGGGAACATTCATCTATTGTCCAACTTGAAAAATGAGGCTGAAAGTGACTGACTAGTCTTGTATTAGAAGCATAAAACACTGAAAATGTGATGCATTGGCCCATCAGACATAAGATTACTTTGAATATAGAAGAAATGGAAATATTCATGTGTTATATTTCTGCTGAAGATTATTTTAACTTACCCACAGTTTATTTGTTTGTTTCTTTTTCAGTTGCTCCTACGATTCAGGAAATTAAATCTGGCACCATGTCCCTTGGACGCAGTGGATTGATAAGATGCGAGGGTGCAGGTGTGCCGCCTCCGGCCTTTGAATGGTACAAAGGAGAAAAGAAGTAAGGACTTTGTGATTGTTATTGTGTTCCAAGCACTTTGAGCTAATGTTTGTGTTTCAGATACTTACTTTAAGCAATTTCTTTAACTGGCTTGAATGATTCTCAACAGCCTCCTCGCAGGCAAGCAAGCTGAAGGGGCCACGTGGGAAGTAAGAGTAGCTAATAGCATCCAGAAGAAACGTCCACTTTGGTTTATATGATCTTAGAAATGCCTGCAAATCCCTCATCACTCATCGTTTCATTTCTTTTCCTCCCTTCTGAACCAGCACACCATTGCTTTTGCTAGCAACCATGTTTAATTGGGAAGTAAACCAGCTCTTAAAGGACTTGGGCACAGATTCCATGAGAACACTCCAAAAGCAATCGGAGCTGCTGTCTCTGCCTGGCTTTCTTGATAAGCCTTAACTCTTTTACCTACCTTACTCTCCCTCAAGACTTTCTAACATGTTGTTTTATAGCTCACTGTGTATTAGATATTTTGTCATTAAAGGGGCTGTAGAGGAAATAAAATACATGGTTAAAGGACTATCCACCATAATTTTAAGGTTACTCTAACTTCAGCTCTGTATGATTGCCCCCTTGAGAAGCCTCGGAAGGCCTTGGCAAGGGCTGTTGAACAAGAGAAGTCAGGACTTGACTACTTTCTCTTTATTTTCAACCAGTAAGCTCATCCAAACCTCTTTAGCTGGTCTTATCAGCTATCAAAGAAGAGTGGTATCCCTGTGTATTAAGTGGAAGATGGAATACAGATGGAAAGGTGTTACCTATACTATATATTCTTACTTTAAAACTAGGGAGGGATATATTTGAGAAAATGTTAGGTTGAACCACAACTGTGGTTTTACCTAAATTTTTTTGCAACTATTTTGTATGAAACCTCTTCTACAATTTGGGATATTCAATTTTTCATTCTTTTTACTAATTAATTCATGCTGTTACTAATTCTAAATTGAACTATATGTGGCTTCATGGAAGCCCCCGTATTTCTATGCATTTAAAATACGATAAATGACAAACCTCTCTGGGGTCACCTTGTCACACCATGTAAGATTAGATATCTGTTAATACAACTTTTCTCAGACTCTGATTATCCAGGTTGCAGTTTTTTCAGTTTGTGATTACCTTTATGGACAATCACATAGAAGAGTGGTTCTTAATCCTTCGAAAGTTATGAAATCCTTTATTCAAATGCAATCTTATTTGGAGGCCCAAAGAGTAATATCTATGAAAGTAACACTCTTCTGGTAGGTATGGAGTAGGTGACTAGAACCTCAATTCCACGTGTTTAGAAGTCTCCCACACATGTATAAGATGTCCTCACAGTGCACCATTCCCCCGCCCCCCCAGACCTGCCCTACGCTGGTTCTCCACAAGAAATTTTTTAAAAATTTAAATAGTGAGAAACTATTTTACATATCTTTCAAAGCTACTTTTGAGTTTGTATCATTCCTTTCCTAAAGGCCAACAAACAATTATCCCCAGCAGTGCAATACTAGGAATTGTATTACCGGGCTCATTTGTTAACGTTCACTTTGCTTCCGAAATTTTATGAGTTAATGTCCTGACTATTTTTTTGGTTGTTTGGTATCTTGGGTTTTTTTTTTCCTTTGCTCTTTCTCTCACCCTCTTATTCTCTCTCCCCTTTCTCATTCTCTCTTTCTCTTCCTTTCCTAAATACAGCAATCATTAAAAAAAAAGAAAAGTCTACAATAATCCTTACTCTGTTTTTTGGCTCATAGAAAATATAGCAAAATGCCAATTGATGCTCAAATCATAACTTCAGTGATTTTTTCTCCTACTGAGATGGACTGTATCTTTTATTAGATTTTCAAAGAAGTTTAAAATCACTCCTATAAAAGGTAGATTGATTTTCCCCAATGCCCTTCGGCAATACACTTACACACCAAGAGAAAATCCAGGAGCTGTGAAAATCAAATGCACTTGTAAAAGGCAAACATATTTTCATTTCAGGGAAAACTATACATTTATCATTTGTTAGGGTTATAGCTGAGTAAATATTCAAATTCTCAAACACCTTTAGTAGATATAAATTCATCTCAATATTATAGTAAAGCACATTTGAATATTTGTAGGAATTAGTAGAAAGAAGGATTCTGGTTGCTGAGTGGCTGTCATTATGCTCACTAAGTGGGTCTGCCATGCTAGTTATAGAGCCAAGCCATTCAACTATTTACCTCATCACTAACAAGCACCTGTTATCTGACAAGCAGTGTACTAATTTGTTAATAAAAATTAACCAGTTTATTTTTATTATGAACCTATAAGATAGATACTATTGTTTTCTTCATCTGGCTTGGGAGAAACAAAAGCAGAGAATTTTTAAGTAATTTGCACAGGTTGATACAGTTAGTAGCAGAGCTGGGGTTGGAACCCAAGAAGCCTTGCAAGTAGAGTCCAAGTAACAAGTTAACCCAAAATTTAGCAATTTAAAATAATAAACATTCCTTATCTGAAACAGTGTTTTCAGTTTTGGGTCAGGAAATCAGGGGCAGCTTAGCTGTATGTTTGTGGTACAGAATCTCTCATCAGGCTGCAGTCAAGATGCCACCTGGGACTGGTCTTCTGAAGACTGGGGGAGCGCTGGAGCCTCTGCTTCCAAGACAGCTCACCCGCATGCTGGCATGTTAGTGCTAGGTATTGACCGAAGGCTCAATTAATCACCATGTGGACTTCTTCATAGGACTGCTTGACTGTCAGCATGACACAGCTATTGACTTACCCCAGAACTAGAGATCCAAGAGAAAGCAAGTTAGAAGCTGCCATATCTTTTATGATCAAGTCTCAGATGTCATGCTCTGTCATTTCAGCAAGACTTGATTGATGACATAGGGTGGTCCAAATCAGTGTGTGTGAGTGGAGGAACAACACAGAGGCATGAGGATCAGGAGGTGAGAATCATCAGATGCCATCTTCAAAGATGGCTCCCACACTGTCTCCCTCATGTATAATATAGTTATTTTTATTAGAAATATTAACCACTTCACCTTAATTTATTGCATTGTTTAGATAAGCATCATGAAAATGACTCAAGTTTTAATGTTTATAATTAGAATATTATTTCATGCTATACAAAGATCATTTTTAAAAAATACTTTAGTCTCTTTTAGCATACCTGGCAAGGACAATCCAATTAGACTTAATTTTACTTCATATACATTTAAGTATTGGGAAAATAAGAGTTGTGTGTTCAATAATATTGGGAACCACAAATTTAATTTTTTTACTTAAAATAGAGAAGATTAATAAGAGAAAAATACACACTTCTGTAGTGAAAACATACTTTTGGAACAGGCAAAATACTATTAAGCAAATCATATTTTTGATGACATGAAATTAAGTTAATCTATGGCTTAAGAATAGTACATTCATTTACAATTAAGACTATAAATATAAATTAAATTTTAATGGACTAATATTTAAATAGGTATTGCAAAAACATGGGATCTGTATCACTTTGAGAAGATATCATTATCCTATGTCTTAGATGAGAATTTTGCAATTTGTTTGCTTGTTTAAATTTCCTTCTTCTTTTAAAGATATCTTCAAATCCCAGCCTGAGGTCAAGAAAGACATGCCTACTGATTTCTAATGACATTTAACTGCTCCAGGCTTTTTAACTAGTATTTTATTTGCTTTGCCTGTATTCAGGCAAATAACCAATAATAGCAATTCTTTTTGGAATTCTTTAATAACAACAGGCTTTCTTTCTTAATCTTCCATCATAATTTAAGACAGGGATATGAAAGTTACAAATGAGGTAAGTACAAATTAACTCAATGAATGAAAAACAAGGGCACAGTAAAACATTAAAAAGTATCCACATATCAGTTAAAAAAAAAAACAAATGTGCAGCTAAGAAATTGAGTATTTTGTATTTGATAATGAGTACCTGTAATATTTGGACATTTTGAACAATAAGTTTCAAATTTAATCTATGCACTTTTAAATAATCTTTACCACAAATATCTTGTCAGTATATCTCTCATTTTTGAATCCTGTTAATTGTTCAGCTTATACCACGGCTTTAGAGGAAACCGTGATAAGCATTACCATTTTGTTTTGGATTAGTTATCTATGTGCCTAAAACATGCATGAACAGATATTTACAAAATGTATTCAGGTACCATTGAATGGATAGGAAAATGTCTAAAATCAACCATGTAGACTGTAGAGTACACAGAGGTAGGATGACCTTTTCTGGTCAGGTCAGGTTTTCAACTCTGGGAATGGTGATTTTTCATACTTAGTTTTACAGAGGTGAAATGAAGTTGAGAATTCATAATGAAATGAAGTGACCTTTTCTCTCTTTTTTCTTATTCTAGATATATACTACCCCATCATCTAGACAGACCATAAATTTTATCTGAGTATTCACTTTAAAAAAAGAATATGAGAGAGAGGGTCTTCTCCCCTTCCTTTATTTTCTAGGAAACCAGAAAATAGGTTAAAATATTTCTTTGTACCTACAGTGTTCCTCTTTTTTTGCTGTATTTTATGTAACTTATTTATGTCAAAGGTAGGCATACATTACATTTGTATAACACATTGTGATATTCAAAGCATTTTCATATATGGCAGTTTTGCAAAATGTGCTCATTTTTACCCTTTACTTACATACTGTCAGCTCTTCAAACTTGGAGTGCTGCATGAGAGAGATAGAAAACAGAAAGCTATAAGCATATAACAATAATTCAAATAATGTAGACTTGCATACTTCTCAACCGATAAATTTCAGAAAGACATAAAATGGAAAACTTTGTTGTCCCTTCAATTGGTCTTCATTTCCATGTACTTCTGACAGTGTGTCCCTCCATTGTAAGTGATAGTCTCATGTCAAAGATGTGTATTTAATATAACATAGTCCTAAAACTACTACTTTATGTGGTCCTCACCCATGAGTAGTGATATAAAAACAATAGTCTACAACACTTTTGGAAAATATATCCCTATGAGTGAAATTTAAGCCTTAGCAAAAACTA